GAAACAAGCTTCCTCATTAAAAGATTTCCTCTCTTTTCATGTTTTGGTGACAACACAAAATTTTGGATTTTCCCTTACTTTATGTCCTGGAGACAGTATTTACCAAGACATAGAGTGCAAATCTCCTTCATGGAGACACAAACAGCATTAAAAAAAAAGGTGATTCCAAGTATCGAACTGGGAGATATTTTGTTGTCTGCTTATATTGCTTTCTTACCTAAAATATTCATGTCAACTATAACAATGTGTCTTAAATGAAAGCTAATTACCTTTATTTCTGTACCTGATGTTTGATCACTACATAAAGAGTAAAAAAAACACTGGACAAAGCCGAACTGAAACTTTGCTGTTTTGTTATGTTTGTATTCTCATCAACACAATGAGTATACTTTGGTATCCTTCCCAATCCCGTCTAGATATTTCTCTATTGCTGTGGCATTTGTCTGGGCTGGTATCATGTTCTGTGAAACTGTAGAAGGCATATCACAAAGGAGGGATGGGCTGTGCTTAAGACTTGAGGAATGTTTCAGGGAACTGCCCTCTGTGTCCACTAGTTTGACCACTGGTACATTTTGAGGTGTTGGTTCGCACATTTTCTGTGATGCTACCAGGTGATGTGTTTTCTGTGACTGAGAGTGAGATATGAGGTACAGGAAGGAGAAACAGCCTTTCTGTCTGGAGCTTGATGTGGGCAGTGGAAGTGCCCCTGTATCTGCATGAAGAAAGAGAGCCCTGAGTTCAATGGAAGGCCTCTGAAGTAGGCAAAAGTCATTTCCAGCTATGTGTCTATTAGGTCACAGAGGGAACAGAGGGGAACCTTTTACATACTTTATTTGCCTGTTCCAGTTAATAACCGATATGGATATCACACATTTTTATACATAACATTATATAGCTCCACTCATCACTTATCCGGTATCTTGTGTTTTAGATGACCAGTATGTCCATTAACAAATAACTTTTATGACCCTCAGATTGTGAAATGACTACCCACTGCTCCTCAAAGTGAGATCCAGGTTGGCAAGAATAAAAGAAGTCTTGCATTGGCTGCAGAAAAACTAAATCAATTAAATAGAATATTACATTCACAAATTTCAAATTTCAAAGTGAAAGTACCCAAGCCAGAGCCATATAAGTTGATTTGCTGCAAGAGAAAATTCACTTAGAGAAATCTATGTTTACTTTGCTAAGAAAATGTTCACTTAGCGTAGTGAATACAGTACAACTATGTTTACTATGAATACCCAATCAAGTTCAGGGAAAATTACAAAAGAGGATTTTTATTTGCATATGAATGGATGACCTATGTGAATGCAGCTATTTAATAAGCAAGCAGAACATTCACTTTGCAAAGTGAAAATTCTATAGCCGCAGAATCTGCCTTACACTATAGTGAAGCACAGCCCCTAATGGTAAACTGGAAAGGAAAGGCATGTAACATGCTAAGTAAAACAGAGAATCCTTTTTAACCAGACTAAATCTGAGTAATACATTAATTTAGTATAACATAAAATTAATACGTTATACTAAGTTTCATTAAAGCACAACTCTAGGTTTGGGTCCCCTAATGGAGCACCCCTGCATCCCAAGCAAAAAACAAAAACTGTATACTTACCTTTTTCACAAGTGTCTTTGGCTGGCTCTGATGATGTCTCAGGTCCTATTCACCCCTTTCTTCCTCCAACAGTGGGCAGATCCAAAATGCTGCAAAGAGTGGGGGCAGAGCCTTGACCGCCTTGGTTCACAGGAAGTGGGTTGAATGACACTGAAAGTCATTTAACCTGCAAGAGGAGAGGCACAGCATTGCAGGATTGATGAGTCTATGAGGGGCAGTGCCGGAGACTGGGTGAGTATCACAGCCAGAACTTCTTTTTTTATGTTCACAGGCTGCCAGGGGCAAAACAAAAACATGTCCGGACAAATTTTGTTTTAAAGTGACACTAAACGCAGAAGTTAAGCGTTAAAAATGCATTCAAGTACCTTAAATTAATAACAAAAATGTAGCTTATTTGTGCATTGTTCAGCTGTAGATCCTCTTACCATCTCCGAATGTGTGCGCTGACACTGTCCTTCCTTCTGGAGGGTGGCTACTTTTGTTTCCCATGGTCCTTGTGTGTCTTGTAAAGTAGCCACCACTCCAAGCTTGCTGCCATGATGGACTATAATTTCAATGCAAATAAGTAAACTAAACATGAGATTGTAGTCCATCATGGGAGTGAGCTTGGAGCGGTGGCTACTTTACAACGCACACAAGGACCATGGGGAACAAAAGTAGCCACCCTCCAGAAGGAAGGACAGTGTCAGCACAAATTCAGAGATGATTTGAGGATCTACAGCTGAGTGAAGTAAGGTACTTAAATGCATTTTTAAGATTTAACTCCTGAGTTTAGTGTCACTTGATGTTTTGGATAGAATAGGGAAGAGTTAGTTTCTTACTGCTGTTTGCGCTCGGCTAGAGAGATTTTCCCTTACTGAATGCCAAACACAGGAAGTGATGGGCTATCTACAATAAAGACACAGACAGCATTTAAAATGTTACAGAGGTTCCAGCATTCCTCTACCCCACCAAATCATGCATTTTTATATCCATCTGTGTAGCTGTCAGACATTTTCTTTCACTTCCTGTCAGATTACATCATTGTCCCAAGGACAGGAAGTCAGAGAAAATCTCCTACATTAAAGATCTGACAGGAGTTCTAATTTTTCCCCTCTTTGTCCAATGCTTAAAAAAAAAAAAACCTTTGGCTGGACGTGCACTTTAACAGGTTTTAGTTAGGTATGACTAAATTTAAAAATGCAGATGTAGCAGAATACCTAGGAGCTGAGGCCAAACGCCCTTCCGGAGGATGGTTTGTGGCATTCTCCTATGCTGTACTGAAGTGATACTGTACATCTCATAACAAACGTTGTGCAGATCTCTCAGCTTCCACAAGCACAGCAAGTACAAGCTGGACAAACACACAGAGTTTTTTAATCAAAGCTGTACAATATAAACGTCATACTTGACACACACGTGGTATAAAATGTCACCAGAGTTGTCAGCTGGAGATGTTTGAAATGTTTTAATATGGTATTGAATATGGCTTCCTGTCAAGGATTGTAAGCTGATGAAAGAGTCCTAATGGGACAATATTCAATCCTAAACATTTTATAATTTAAGGCAAACCTACTGTAATGGTCTTTAGAAATCGAATGAGATCCTATAAATAAATGATATCCTGGATAGGTATAATTATAGAAACAGAATCATTTTCATGTCCAAAAAGAGACGGAAGTTTTCCATAGTAGAAGTTATCAGTCCCGTTCACGATCATTGAATAAATTGTTACGTAATTTTGCTATACAGATGGCTTATCCAAACATATTTTGCTTCTTGTGAGTTTCCTAATGAGAGTGTGATCATGTACATGGCATGTCAAAGGCAAGACAACCAATTTAAACCTAACTGCCCTGCCAGGACCCGAGGCAAGGCAGTAATACTATACTGCCTCAATGTGAGCTGTATGGCCATAAAAAGACTCAGATTAGATGTTGCATTGTTACTAGTGGGGAAACACAGGAATTAACCTCCTAAGACTCTATTAATTAGGTCAAGGGATAACAAACTGACAGCTCTAAATAATAGAGAGAAGCAGAATGGGCTGTATTTAGTAAACTGTAAAGTTTTGTACAATGAGTTGAACCTGTATTACATAAAATATCCAATCCGTGCAAGAGAAATTATTTTTTTTATTGGGAAAGAGGTTTGAAAACCATAAAAAATAATCGAGGTTTCACAGTTATCAATATGTAGGTAGGCCAAAATTCAAGCTCACCAAGCAATACAATCTCATTATACATGGAATCCCATATACATAGTTCCCAACCGTTCCTCATTTGGAACCAAATCCCTTGATCCCTCTATGCTCCTCATCTGTCCTTCTTTTTGGTTTGATGTTTAGACCTCAGTTATGCTACAATAAGCCCTAAATCTAATCTCCATTTGTTATTTTTGAAAAAGCTATTATAAAAAAATAGGACTGGTGGGAAAAAAGTACTTGTTGGGTTTCACTAATGCTCATTTGTATATTAAAGTTCCACAGTTCACGTAACTGGGGGGCATGGCAGGGGTGTGTCGCTTCAGATATTTATTATTTAGGGGTGTGTCCTTTGCCAATGTACTTTGTGCTAAAAGATGTCTTAGAAAGTTGTGAGTGTATGCATATATGATTGCGTTCATTTTGAATGAAGTGGCCATTGCAATAGTATGCAGTATACCCCATATGTTGGGAATTAAACATTGACTGTTTAAGAGGATCAAGGTGCACTTCAATGCTGATCACTGCCCTTCACCTACCTTAGCATTTTAATATTTAAATAAATAAATGAATAAAAGGTCCACCAAATCCAACCGTGAGTTATAGACTGTGAAGAAGTGATAATAAAATAATTAGTACATGGTGCCAGACAGTTAGCTCTACATCTTACATAAACACGATTTAAATACTGATCTACATCCTCTATTTATCATACAAACAGATGGTAAGTTGATTGCTGATGTCCTAAAAATACTCAGGTCAACTTGTTAACTATAAAATAAAGGCAGTATGGAAAAGAAAATGGTAATGTGTTGTAAATATCAAAGCATTTTTGGCTTTGTTTCAAAGTCGAGCGGGGACAAGAAGTGATTTTCTACACGACGTTAAAAGGTCTAAGGTACAACTAACAGAGCCAACCTAGTAAAAGTCTCTGAAGGGATCTTACGTTACCCAGGGAGCATTTGGCTGCTGTCTATATTCATCTCATACTCGACAAGTTTGCCTTGCAGGCTCAGCAGTATTCCCTTGCACAGAGCTTCAATTTCAACCCAGGCATTTCAGTACTTATAAATAATTATGCATATTTTCATATTATGTTCTTACATAGCAAAATACATTTCATCAGAATTATTTCAGACTTTCTGTGCTGTTGGTTTAAAACCGTATTATGAATAAAAATATCTTACCTTAGCAATGCACCACGGAGGTCAACCTTAGGGTCAGCTTATTGATCTTCTGCTTGATCAGTACACTAATCTAAACGCCCTTCCTTGCGGGTTTTCAAGTCTTGGGGTCCTGTTTTTCAGAGAGCTGTTGGAGAAAGAAGAACGTGTGCACCAGGGTGTCTGCACAGCACAAAGTGCTGATGCAAAGTGCAGTATATTTGACTCTTGGATGTTGCTTGCAGTGGCATCCTGGATGTTATTAATAGCCAAAGGAGTAAGGGGGATCTCAGATGGCAAGAGGACAGAAGAGGGAAGGGAAAAGGTGGAACTCAGCAGCCCTGAAGTCCATTAAACCTCACTTTATGGAGTGTCACGTAACCTATATACAACCCAATATGTTTTAACTATAGTGTATATACTGTATTTATTATTTATCATAATTAGTCAAGATGAAGAGGCACACTTTGCCATTCTGCAGCGTACGACGTTTAATTACAATAGCATGTTTTAAAATGGGTCACATGCCCATTTGTACATGTTGCTGATTGATATGTGAGAGCAGTTGAGTGACTTCAGTTATATCAATAACTTGGTGTCTGTTGTTGTTGCCGACAATTTACGCAGCACTTTACATAGTTGCACGTTCACATCAGTATACACCTTCATAATGCCAAACAAATTATTGCCTGTCACATAATCGAAAAGAAGCCTGAAATGATGGCTCAAGCCATTATTGCTGCACCACTAGATATATGATTTTCATATATTTTTTGTACACACAATGGTTGTACTTTATTAATTCTACTCACAATGCAAAACAACTAGTTTACCATTTATTTTAGAGCATTAACCATCCATGTCCAAAAAGAAAATAAAAAAACAAGCAGCACACATATGAAATTGCACATTTTTGCTGGCATATTGCAGATCACAGCCATTATGACAACTGCCGTAGACCACTATGTTCATCTTTCTGGTCTCTCCACAGTGCTTGGATCATATATAGCTTCGGCATTGTTTCAATCAAGGGAGTCGCTTGCTTGATGTATGCATGTAGCGGGTAAAACACAGGAAGACATAAGTCTGCGTTGGATCAGAGAGCGGCACCAGCGCTGGAGGGACTGTTGGATATGAGTGGAAGGAAGAGGATGTTTGCATCAAGAGACATCACATAAGTTAAATAGTTAACTTGGGACGAGCCTTTTATCCCATAGTTCTCTTAAGATTCATGGGAGGACATATTCTAACGTCCTCCAGTGGCACAAAGGTCAGTATATAGCAAGCTATTACTATATACCGAGATCGCGGCAGGCAGGACAGATCCCGACAATGCTGTCGAGATCCACCCAGCTGCGGGATTGACAGCTGGCTCTGCCTATCCAGAGGCAGAGCCAGCTGTGCCCGCCCCCTCTTCGTCCATTCCTCCACTCAGCGCTGGAGTATCGGAGCGGGGAGTGGTGACTGACAGTCAGGGAGATGATCGGAAAGTGAGCAAGCTACGGTATGTGTTCGTTCACTTCCTGATCTATAGAGCCGACCTGTGACAGTTTCATTGTCACAGGTCGGCTCGAACTATGAGGTTGAGTGAAAATCACTCACCTCATAGTTCTCCTTTAATGAAAGTGACTTTTACCAGGAGAGTAAGTATCCTGAGTCACTGAGATTGTAGATTTAACACAATAACAAAACTTTGACTACGGAAGAGCAATCTTGTAAAAGGTAAAGGCAGGGGCGTCCCGAGGCTGGGTAACACCCGGAGCGGTAACCGAGTGTCACCCCGCCGAGACGTCACTGCGCATGCGTGTGACGTCACCACGTGCGGCAGTATTCTGATACCTGCCGGCGGCCATCTTGGTGATGGACGCCGGCAGAGAGAGGAGGGGACAGTCACCCGGCGGGATAAGGTATGCCGCCGGGTCCCCTCCTCTCTCCTGATACTGTCGGGCGTTCGGTCCATGACCGAGCGCCCGACTTTTTAGAGGGGGGAGACACCAAAATGACTCATTTTGGTGTCACCCCTCCAATGGTGTCACCCGGGTGTGGGCCGCACCCCCCTTGTGACGCCACTGAGTAAAGGTTATGTGGTTGCGATATCTGCTGGATAACTTTAGTAGCTCACTAACTGCTTTTACTTTTTGTGTGGAAATAATCTATATGTCTTAGACAGATAAGAATGTCATTATATTTCCCATTACATTACATTTACATTTTTTACATTACATTTTTAAATGATAATGCTTTTGATGAACATTTCCTGTTTATTGTCCTAAAAACATAAGAAATTTGTATACGGCTGAGGTTATTTCACATGGCTAAATGTGTCAGGAAGTTCACCTTTCTGGTACTGAAGGTACATTACCTCTTCCTGAGTATGGCAATATCTGGAGCCTTGCATACATGCTTGATGCTTTTGTACCAGAATTTGACATATTAATTTTGATGTAATAATGCAATCACATTTTTTAAAGTATTTTTTTGGGCAGAAAAGGGCAGTGACCCCAGTGTGGTCATGGGTAGATTTCCAATGGCCACTGTTACTCACAATATACTTTGTGAAGAGGTTATGGTCACAGAAAACATTTTCATGTAAGCATTAGAAGGAGTCAATGCAGACTGTATGATCACATTCAAACCTGGAGTCTAGGAATTACTGAATTTCTTCTGCTTACTATAGTGCCATCATTGCCATGGGCAGTGCCAGTGATACAGGAATTACTGGCAGAGGTCCAGTGAGGATCTCCCATGAGGAAGGGACAGGAAAGCAACGCTAATTGATGGCACAATAAAACTTAGTTGGTGCCCATAGTAACTAATCAGGTAAATGGAAATAATTATTAACAATTCTGATCAATTGCCATGGGCAACAACTCCAGGTCTCTGCTCATTTCCTTTTCTCCAGTTTTCATTAATCAGCCCCAAAGAGTCTGCTTCCTTCTCCTACAACTGACCTTGGATTTGCCTCCTTATTGACATACTTGATCAGTATTCACCCAGGAGGTGATAATGATTACTGAACATCTCCATAACATATCTATTTCAGCTGTATGTATGAGCTATGTTCACTGGCATGATTAACAGTCGTAAGGTGCCCATACACCGGCCGATTATCGTAAGATAATCGAGGGTGATCTTGCGATCACACGATAATCGGCAGGTGTATGGGCAGCGTGCGACTGCTTCTAGTGTAAGGTCGCACGACTTTCGTCTTCCGAGCAGGATGGAAAACTTGCCGAAAATCATACCATTTTCGGCGGGTTGGTAGTGTGCTCGGAAGACGAATGCCGCACGGGCCGGTGTGCACAAGCTCAGCACTGAAATCATCGGAAGCCCTCCCCTCAGCGGAAATTTTAAGTCGTGCAATGGTTGGAAGGTTTATGGGCAGCTTAATACCGATGTCATCAATCTCTGTGTTTTGATGATTTTTCCATTATTACACCATATAAACGGAGAAAGGTCACTAGTGATGTAGTCAGTTCCAATGGCAAGACAACCTCTGTGCCAAAAGAAGACGGCTGTAGTGACTAAACAGAGTCCTGCAAACTAAAAAAGATAAGGCAAGATTAAAGGCTATCTAATTAGAAGAACAAGAAATGGAATATATTGCAGCTTACCTTAGATGTAGTGTCTGCATTGGTATCCTTTTTCAGGTTTGTTTGTTTTTTTCTTTTCTTCTGGTGATCCTGCCAGTGCAACATTTTCTGTCCTAGAGTGACCACGCTCACTCACCATAGTATAGCTATGGCGGAGGTTGTCACCCTACAACAGGACTACAGAACACCTCCCCATCTCCTTTTGTCAATAACATAGAAGGCAGGTGTTCTGGAATCCTCAGAGATGAATGGGAACAATGAAACAGATGAGTGCAGCACAGGCAGAGAGAGCAGGAAGTTACCATTTGGTATGAGGTTTTTTTTGCACTTTAAAGTGTTCATTAATGTGTGACTGAATACAAAATATAGGGGGAATCTTTCACTGAGGAGACCTGTTCATTGACATCTGTCAATGAAGGGAAGGCATGTGGTGGTGGTGGGGGGTTGGCTGTCAGTGAATGGTCATTCTGGGGGTTGGAGGTGCTGCCAGTGAATAACCGTTCGGGGTTGTGAATCTTGTTACCTGTGGGTACACAGGCTGTCTAAAAGAGGCTGTCTAAAATCCCACCCAGCTAACGGATATCACAGGTTGAAAGGAGCTGGGCAGGACACCAGCCACACTGTCCCGCCCTGTTGCTGGCAACCAGTGATGTCAGTGAACTGGGTGGGAAGCTGGACAGAGAATCACAGGCTGCTAAGAGCTATTAGCAACCTGGACGTGGTGGCTTGCACCCCCCTCGCACGCCGCCGCCAACTTAGCCTGTCACATTATAGGGATGGCCCTGGGAGGGGTCATCTCCTCACAAAAAAACCTTATATATCAGGGCTAACTGTATTTAACTAATTCTGAAGGTCCCTGGCTGTAATGATGATCCAGCGGCTTCCATAACTTCTCACTTGCTAACTTATCCAAACAAACATGCAAATCAGTAGTTCTGACTTCAGTGGCGCACGTCTGTTCTAAGTCAGTGAAGGCCAAAAGAAAGATTACAATTCCAGATGGTCAGGAGTGGCAGCCCATTTTCCCAGTACAAGTTTCCTTATAATTATGATAACATGTATTCCTTCATTGTATTGCTTGTCGCTGAAAACAAATTGTTTTGTGAAAGGCAATTGGGTCTTCCTACCATCCCTCAGCAATGGAGTTAATAGAACAGGAATTCCTCCATTGTGCTTAGAGGTTTATTGAAACACATTATAACATTTGAAACAAGTGGAGAAATAAATGTCTTTTTGCTTGAAAATTATTACTGTAACAAAATAACAGACGTTTCCGTCCGTTTCTTTATTGAGAGCCCAAAAAAACCCACAGAAATGTGAGCTTCACTGTAGCAACTACTGGAGTTGGGCTTTAACCCTTTTGTTTCTGGAGGTCATTGATGGCTAGATGCCAAGGCCAAATTAAGCAGTGTCTATATTTGTTGGTTAAAGAAGTCTGGGGAAAATGTTTTATTAACACTTGCAGTGGCGCTACTCTCGCACTGCAAGGGTTAACTGCTCATTTGTGTCTAGGTGCTAAAATACAAACAATTATACTCACCCGATCATTCAAGCCGACTTGTTCTTAGACCGATCCTTCCAGTCTCTCTCCCCCTCTGCTGA